CCTTTGATATGATGTGAGAACCTGAGTCTTCTGTTTTGTTTTGAGCAACATTTGCTATGATTGGTTTGCCATAAAATTCCAACATTTATGTGCATACCCTGCACTATTACAAAAATTGCAAAGACAGGGAATACCTCTTGAAGTATTATGTCTGTCAATTTACTATGTCTTGGGCATCGTATCTTTGTTTAAGGGTTCTAGGTTCCTTGTGATAGTCCTTAGTCACCTTGGGCAACCTTCTTCATTTATTTGCTTTTACTCTTGCGTCTTTTGTGTGCCAATATATTGTGGCCTGGTTGTAATCCTTGTTTAAGCTTTTTCAATCAATAAAATCCTTTCATTTTTAAACATGGTATTAGAGCCAAGTCTCGCATGAGAAAAAACAATTGAGAATTTGTCTTTGTTGAAATTGAGGATTGACAGGCCTGGTGGGTGGAGAATAGCCCCCACCCGCCAATTAGGCGGAAGCAAAATATGTGAGAACCAAAGACAAAGATAATAGGAAGATTATATTATATTATACTGAAAGATTACAATAGATTGTATCTCCGTGTGTGTCCTCTATACCTCTATAGGACCCTATATATACTAAACTAGATACTAAATTACCCTAATAGGAATAGGAAACTAAGTCCACCCTACTATGAGTTTCCTAATATTCAACACTCCCCCGCAAGCTTGGAACTTCTGGAAGTTCCAAGCTTGGATTAAAACAAGCACTCTACCTCACTCAAAATTACAAATGAAAATTAAATGCAACTAGATGATAACAGTGTTGGATGGCTTCGGAGGGACAACGCTATACACAACCCTTGGGAATGAAGGCACCAGGGGCGAAGCTTGTCATGAACATCCTTGGGTTTGAAGGCACCAAGCGTAAAGATTAACACGAACACCATCACAGCAACATAAGCACTTTAGGATGGATGACTTCAAAAGAGATTGCGCTATGCCTGACTCTTCCTTGGGAATGAAGACGAAGGTACCAAGAACGGAGCTGAACACAATCCTTGGGAATAAAGACGAAGACACCAAGGACGAAGCTGAACACGATCTTGGGAATGAACACACCGAGGACGGAATTGAACATGAACCTCGGGAATGAAGATGAACACAACAAGGATAGAGTTGAACATGAACAACCTCCCGATAACACAACATAAACACTCTAGGACATGCCAACAAAGCCTTCATTAAGAGCGGTAGAGGCGAAAAGGGAGCAAAGAATAGCAAAGGGTGTAGTAGAATCCATAGTAATAAAGATAAACCCGAAGTAACGAGATGAAGATAACTAGGAAAACAAAGTAAAATAAGTAAAATAGAACACCGTTTGATTATAGATAGTCACACTCCCCCTTACTTGAAACATGGAAAATAATCAAAGGCCTTTATAGTAGTGTTGAAACTGAACACCCATGGGATAAGGAATACCGGAGAAAAAGAAACAAGCACGATTATACCAAAACACAAACACCATGGGGAGAAGTTCGGCAACAAACCCAAAAAAGCCTCCAAATTTCACCAAAAAGTTGAAAGAAGGGCAAAACAACAATCTGGAAAATCTTCATCAGAAAAATACATCACAGGCACATAGATGGAGTCGCAGAGGACTGACAGAGAGATCTGGAAAATATCGCCGGAAAATATCACTGGAGGTAGTCTCACGCGCCGCAAGGTCGTCGGCGGGTGACGACGACGGCGGTGGAGGAAGGAGACCAAATTTTCTAGTTAAGGTCGCAAAAGGGGGAAAAATCCATCCGTGTAGGATGTGAGATCACAAAATCACCGGAGAAGAGGAGATCTGGCCGGAAACAGATGATCTCCCGCGACGGTGGTGGTGCGTGCGGCGACGGATGGTGATGGGTTTTACGGCGAAGACTCGCGACGAGGTTCCGAGTAAGGCTGTGGTGTTAGTTTCTTCGAACAACAGCCAGAAGAGCATCGGAACGAGATGGGCAGTTGCGTATTGCCGGAAAAATGGTGTTTTTAGAAATTTTTAGAAAGAAGATAGCTTAAAAAACTTAGGCTCTGATACCATGTTGAAATTGAGGATTGACAGGCCTGGCGGGTGGAGAATAGCCACCGCCCGCCAATTAGGCGGAAGCAAAATATGTGAGAACCAAAGACAAAGATAATAGGAAGAATATATTATATTGAAAGATTACAATGGATTGTATCTCCGGGTGTGTCCTCTATACCTCTATAGGACTCTATATATACTAAACTAGATACTAAATTACCCTAATAGGAATAGGAAACTAAGTCCACCCTACTATGAGTTTCCTAATATTCAATAAAGGTTTCCTAATATTCAACAATCTTGCTAGGCAAGTTGTCCACTAGTGATCTCCCAACAAGCATGAGCTTATTGAATTCAGTCATGGTTAATGTCCACCTACTTATCACCAATTGGTTTTAAAAAGGATATGACAACCAAATAACCAAGAACTCTGTGGTTAAGCGTGACTTACAAGATGGGTGACCTATTGGCTACTGGAAAGTAAGCATAGTGCAGCGCTGAGCCGCTGAGATCCATCAATTGATATTAGAGTCGAGGTCACGTGTTTGAATCGATGGCGAGACAGTAGCCAAGTCCAGTCCCGGAAGGGATGGGAGAAGGTCGGGCCAAATCCAGTTGCGAGAGGGGATTAATGGGTGTGAAAGTTAAAGACCGAGTCAAGCATACTGCGCAACTAGGCTCTCAGAGTCGAGGTCACGGGTTTGAATCGATGGCGAGACAGTAGCCAAGTCCAGTCCCGGGGGATTAATGGGCGTGAAGGTTAAGGAACGAGTCAAGCATACTACGCAACTAGGCTCTGTGAGAGAAGGTTACGGTAGATGCTGGGAGGGGATTGTTGGGCAGAGATGTGGTTAAATTGTTAATGTCTACCTACTTAACACCAATTGGTTTTAAGAAGGATATGGCAACAAGAACCAAGGAACTCCGTAGTTAAGCGTACTTGACTTATAGGATGGGTGACCTACTGGGAAGTAAACATAGAGCAGCGCTGAGATCCATCAAGAATCATTGGGATGCAGCCATTAGAATTTTGAAGTATGTAAAAAGGTCTCTAGATGCAGGGTTGCGTTATAAGGATCATGGACATGAATCCCCGAATTTTCCCTAAGACCTTTTCCATTGACATCTCTGATTTTTTTTATATTCAAGTTTTCATTAACAACAGAATATAATCAGGAGATATCATTAGAATACAATGACTTTGTTTATTTCCAAAAAGAACAAGTTTTAAAGGGACAAAACATGGAAACAGTATCAGTTGAAAGAGACCGCAACAACAGGCTACACAATTGAGCATCACCCCTTCTCCAAATATCCTTTTCATATTTTATTTCATTAACTTCCTTAACTAAATTATCCACAACACCTTATTCCATAAACCATAACTCAACTGCCCAAGCCCAATTTTGATAATTTTGACTTTTGAGAGCCATTTAACTAGCAATTAGTATTGACCGGACTTCCAAAGAGATTTGGTAAGTAAGCAGACCTGTTCTGAACATTTTCCAATGTTTGTACTGTAGGAGTATGATGCATGCTAAAATAGGAAAGCATAATGAAAGGGAAGGAAATAATCAACCTGCATGACTGATTAGCACGATGGATGGAAATAATCAATCAACATGATTGACATAAAATCAGGGATAGAATAATAATTTATTCAATTTGAAATCCTTGATTAATGTTTTAATTATTTATATCCTTGTAGTAGATTATATATTAGGCCCTTTCAGTAGGGAGAGGCATCAGGAAAATTGTTTTGATAATCAGCCAGTAGCTGAGGAGGTCAGGAGGAGGTCTTTGACTTGCTGGGGAATTCCAGTTTTGGATTCCTGGGTTTACTTTTCTGTCGCAATTTATATTCCAATTTAATTCTTTTGCTGAACTCCTGCCTCTTTACACCACCATCAATTGGTCTGACCTCTTTTCAGGATGATACAAATGGAATCTAGAGTGGAAGCCCCAGAGTTAGGAAGAATCCCACACAGATGTGGACAGACAATTGACTAGCATGAAAGATGCCAAATCCAAACTCTCCGACCTGGTCACCCTTGCAGTCAAAGGCAAAGGGTTGGCTGAATCTAGCACATCCACCACAATCACCAATGCAATAGTTAACTCTCATATGGAAATATCCATTCCAGCCATTACCTCTTCCCCTTTGCCCTCAGTGGATCCCATCAAGGTGACAACCAGAACTGTTGAAATCCCCAATATTGATGGGACAGATCCAATTGGATGGGTCACACAAGTGGAACAATATTTTACCATACACCTTCAACCATTACTCTTAGAAATTGATGAAACTTTAATAGGAAGGTCCGAGTGGAACTAGAGAATTTTGCTGGAAAAGGTCACTGGAGATGGTCACACGCACTGGCTCACGGAGGCTTGTGACACCAGAGAGCAAGGTAGCATATGAGAGCATGCGTCCAGGTTTCCGCTGGCCGAAAAATTGGGCAGCAACATTTTTGTAGGCCGAGATGTTTAGGAAATTAGGGTTTGAACAGTAACACTTAGAAACTAATGAATGAGGAAAAGGAAAATGATGGCAATGTGTGAATAGTGCTTACTACTGCTTGCTGGAAGGAAATCAGGCCACGTGACACTGATACCATGTTGAATAATTGGGGAAGATTTTATTTAATTCATAGCTTGAAAAATACACTTGATAACACAAGAGTACACACATTATACCCATAGGCTAACCTAGATTATATCACCAACATGGGTTATATCAACCGGTTCACAACACATGCAAAAAGGCAAAAGGCACATGCTATAAACTCAACAGGTACCTTTTTTACTTAATGAATTCATTATTTAACCAAAACAAAATAAAACTTATATTAGCATTAGTTCTCACTATTTATCCATCTATGATACTACTAGCATAAGCATTAATTCAATTTATCTACTAACACTAGCAGATCTTATTTTACTTGTCCTCCAATTAGAATATGATAATTAAAAGATTCACCTCAGTGTTGGAAACTCAGCTTCTGCTGAAGACTCAGCTGCATTCTCTCTTGATTCATGTTTGCAAGGGTTTTGAGGATAGGATGGCAATGGACGTGATTGTGGAGGTGTAAATACAGGTGATCTCTCAGATCTCTTAGGAAATACATATCCCTTGCGCTGAAAAGTCAAGCAAAAAATTTAAGTGTACATTAGTGTAAATTATCCCGTATGGTAATTTGGCCACACAGAACAGTCTATTTCGGGCATCAACACAAAGTTCAATCACCTGACCATTTTGATTTTGTAATTTCAATACCTGATATCATAAATGGGGAAATTGACTACTTAAGTCAACCAAAGCTTCAAAACTTGGTCTACTGAAGAATTCTTAAACAGAAAAGCACTCACAAATTTGAAAGATCATAACCCAATCTCACAAATTCTAGATTTACACTATAAATGACAGATGAAATTATGGAATCTCCAATTCAATTTTCCAGAAGATTTCACCATAGGCTATAATGACAGTGTTATGGAATATATATTTGATATATAGAATCTCTATATATTAGGCAGTTTAGGGTTTTAGATAGGTAGGACATATGGAAACTTGTTTCCTATTAGTAATCTTCTAGCTCCTATTTATAGGGCTTCGTATTCTCTATTTTATATGACAGTTTGAGACAATATACGACAGCACATTAGAAACTCTCTCTTCACTTTCGTAACATGGTATCTGAGCCTTTACGATAAAGGGATTTTTTTTTTCGCTCCGCTGCCGTCACCACCCATCTAGGAAGCTTCGCCAGCGACCAGCGACCGTGCCTACAGATTTCGGTGCCGATCTGGGCAGCGCGTGGGCCTCACGCGCCGCCGCAACCGGCCACCACGCTCTGGCACATGAGGGCTTTCCGACCACTAGAAAATTTTTCCGAAGCTTATTCCTGGGTCGCCTAGGTCCGTTTGTCTTGGTTCTGGACTTAGTTTGGACCATTGTCTTTTGCTTTCCAGTCAGATTGTTCCGTACCCCTTTAGGCTCCCTTTTTTGTGTGGTTTTGTGATTTGTTTTGCTGGGTATGGCTGGGTATAATTGTGTTGCTGTTGCTGCCTTGGAATCTTGTGACGAAGAGGGTTATTGGTGAGGGGCTTGCATCTAGGGGTCTTTATGTTCATGACCTCTAGAAGGATGGAGTCTGTTGTGTATTTTAGTGCTGTCTCGTTTTGATGGTGTCTCGTTTCGTATTTTAGTGCTGTCTCGTTTTGTGTTTTGGTGTTGTCTCATTTTGTGTGTTGGTTCTGTCTTATTTTGGTCCTATCTCGTTTTGGTGTTGTCTCTCCTTTTTTATGCTCGTTGATTGGAGCATGCTTCCCTTTTGTTAGTCAAGATACTTCCCTTTTGCTAGTAAAGAATTTGTGTCCTCCAGTTTGGAGTTTGTGTTCTTTACCTTGTGTGTTTAAGCTTGTTCAGTCCACTTTGTGTTCACCCGGAGTTGCATTACTGGTGGCGTTCACAACTTTCATTTCAGGGGGAGTATCCAATCTCAAGCTTGTTCGGTCCCTTTATGTTCACCCATTGTTCATGGGATTCGTGGCGTTCGAAGCTTTCGTTGGAGGGGGAGTATGAGCATCCAATCTCAAGCTTGTTTGGTCACTTTGTGTTCACCCGTTGTTTGTGGGATTGGTGGCGTTCGAAGCTTTTGTTTCAAAGGAGTGTCCTAAATGGACTTGGTTATTTGTTATTTAGTTATTTTGGGTTATCACTCATTTGTGTAACAAGTTGGGCATTATTAAAACATATGCTCCAACTTGAGGGGGAGTGTTATGGAATATATATTTGATATATAGAATATCTATATATTAGGCAGTTTAGGGTTTTAGGTAGGTAGGACATATAGAAACTTGTTTCCTATTCGTAATCTTCTAGCTCCTATTTATAGGGCTTTGTATTCTCTATTCTATATGACAGTTTAAGACAATATACAACAACACATTAGAAACTCTCTCTTCACTTTCGTAACAGACAACATCTATGGCTGATTGGCTGAACCAAATCACTGTTAAAGGGGGCAGTTTACAAAAAATATGTGCATTTTAAAATATATTAAAATATGTTTGATGTTGAGATGTTAACCAAAATAGGCTTAATGTGTCTGCCAAACATCAAGCAACTTCACTAGCAATTGTTTGGCAGACCCGAGGAGCCTATTTTGGTGAATTAATTCTAAATTGGACTACTCTGGCAAATTCTCCTATAAGAGAACATTCATTTCAGCATCTAAAACATCTAGGAAGGAACATGTTATAAAGTCATAACTAGGGTAATTCATTTCCATTAGATATAAGGTAATGACCTCTCAATTCTATCCATGGTCTACCACTCAAATGAGTAGTAATAAGGAGTAGTTACAGTGGTGAAAGGAAGAAAAGCCAGGTCCTTGAAATAAACAAAGAACAAGTATGGATCATGTGCGATGGAAAAGAATTCTTCACACACTTGGAAGCCAAAATTTAACTGTCTAGCCAGAAATGTAACTTCCAACACCACCATACTAAAGTCTGAAATTTAGAAAACGATTGAATGGAAGTACATTACACAGCTTGAAGTGCCTTTTGCAGCAATAACAACCTATAACTTACTCTTCCAAACTTTTATGTTAACAATGCACTGATGAAGTGACTGAATTTTGCTCTCAGCATGTTCAGCTGGTTTTTCAGTTGATATAAATAACAGATAATGTTTACTTCTTACATTAAAAATAATAGCCAAAAGTTCATAAAGCAAAGAAGAAAGTTCTGTAATGTATATGTGTCTGGTGCAACATACCATCAACTCCTGATATGCTGCAAAATATTGTGGATATCTTGCCCTTGGCCCTCCAAAAGCTTCTTGCCATGTATCTATTAATATCAATATCTTTTCTTTGACACGGTAATCAGGCTACAATAGCAAAATGTTATGTTACTGATTTCTTTCATAAAAAGGGTCAAAATATTGAAATAAGAGAGCAATTAATTACCTTCTTCCTCACAACTTTCATCATTTCATGAAGTAGATCTTTTTCGGCAACATACATATGAACAACGTCACCACAATTCTTCACAATTGTCTCCAGAAGCTAGAAAAAGATATACAAAACACAGCAATAAAGTAACGTCATCCACAATAAATTTGCCACAAATTTGAACCTTACAAACATGAGATTGCAGTCTTTGTTAAGGTCCTACTCCAATCCTCAATATAACTTATTAGCACGTATAGTCTTCATAATGAAAGAACCTCTTAATGGATGCAATTGGAATAAACATGCAGCAGAACAGAAATACAATGGGCAAGGAGTCATGGTCTGAGAAAAAGCAGGTGTACAATTATAATGGATGTGTAAATATTGAATATATTCCTCGGGCTCAATCTATTGTACAGTTCAAACTAACTTCAGGTCTGTCCAATACGGCAATACCAACATAATTTAGCATTCAACATGAGTTCACAGCCTTGATCAAGTAATCAACCACAAAACTAATTACAATTACGGGACATAGTTCCCCTAGTACCAATCATATCACAAATTTTTGTCCTCTGCACCATCATTTATCTGTGTGTCAAAACTGTAGGGAATACCACCATATATACATGTAGCAATTACATTTCTTTTATATGCATAGTAAAGATTAGTGACTATGATCTTACCATGCCTATCAGTGTCTAGATGCTATTACATTATCACCTTATCTTATGATAAGTAATCACATTACCACTATATATATAATATATCCACAAACAAGAATTTTCTAAATTAAACTATCGATTAAATCTAGGGTCTTGAAAAATTATTCTAGGCATCCCAAGTCATACTCCTAGCGTTATCAAGAAATAGAATCCATTAAAAAGAAAACCTAATATGAGTGGTGTACTGCAGAGGTTTACTTATTGTTTTCAACTCTCCATAGTTCACCCCAAGGATGAAGACATCTATGGTTAGCAATTTAGTTCTCCAGTTCCTCCTGATCTACTAGGTTAGTTGAATCTAAACCCTTTCAAAAGTTGTGACTGGTTTAGCTTTATCAGTGTAGGCTCACCTTCAGAAGGGAAATCTTCCCAAGCTGCTCTGCATTTTTATTGCCCAAGCATTAAAAAGCACTCAGAAATTCCATAACCACTCTATATGAGACAAGGCATCAAAAGTTATTCAAGTACACCACTAATTTGATATCATTACATATAAGTGTTTTATTAACCTATTAGATTATGTTAAAAATAATAAAAATAAAAGATAAATAAATGAATGAATAAATAAATAAATAAAACTAATCCAACCAACAAGGAGATCAGTACAAACTACTCCATGCACTTTAAAATAGCACCTAACTATCAAAAGTTTAGAATACTTAATTGCAAAGCCATTCTCAGTAATAAAATCCAAAGTTATCAAATGACTTTAAAGACAGAAATGCATGAAAGTAGTTTATCTGAGAGAAAAGCAATAAGCCAAAAATACACCTTCCAAAGTGGGAGAAGTCAAGTTACATATGTATGTACGTACATACGGACACACACACACTAGAAAGAAACCAAGTGGGAACCACACATATACACAGCAAAAATAAACAAGCATTTCAGAAGCAAGTAAATAATAATATTATCGAAAAGAAAAGAAAAAACAAGTAAACAGTAATATTATTATAGCTATGACAACTAGTCAAAACAACATCGATCATGCAGAGTTAAAGACATTTTTTTCAAATAGAATGTGGCAACTATAATGCATATGAAGTCTATAAAAACTTACAGTTAAGGCAAGAAGTTGAACTTTCGGATTCTTACTGCCAATTCGCTTCTTAATGCCTTTAAGGATATCCTTTCCCTGCCTGGTGAATGCGTAAGTAAAAAAAACAATACTAACAAACTCTGGCAAATGGTATTCAATCCTGCAATGATTTATTTACAGAGATAGCAACCTCACTTTATAGGAAATAAGATGGCCCTAAACTAGAAAACACAATTTTTAACAATAACTCCTAATGTCTACAATTTCTCCTAAAATTAGACAAGATTAACAGTTAAGATACTTGCATAGTACTCTAATCTCAAAATATGTAATATGAGATTAGGAATCTAATCCCTGATTTCCTGTTTTTCTACACTCCCCCCCAAGCTGGTTTGATATATCTTCCATTGCCAGCTTATTTGCAACACTATCAAATTGATTTTTTACAATCTTTCTGTTACAACATTAGCCACTTGATTGGTAGTCGGAAAATATGACATGAAGATTATTTGACTATCAATCCCCTCATTACCAAAATGTTTGTCAACTTCAAAATTTTTAATTCTGGCATGAAGACACAGGTTGTGAGAAATTGCTAATTTGCTATAGCAGCCTTATTATTGCTGTAGTCTATAGACTTTAATGGGTGAGGGTGAGACAACCATCAATTCTTCCAACAGTCTTCTTATCCACATAACTTTGCAAATTCCATGAGCATTAGCCAGAAATTTAGCTTTAACACTGCGCCTTGCCGCCACATTATGTTTCTTACTCCTCCAAGTGACAAGGTTTCCTCCTACAAAGGTGCAATATCCTGACATTGATCAACTATCTACAATATTGCCAGCTCAGTCCAAATCAATGCATGCTTCTATCTGTAGGTGGCCCACAGTTCTTAAAGTGTAACCCTTTTACCAGGTATTCTATTTAGGTATCTCAGAATCCGATAGGCAGCTTCAAAATGCTATGGCCTGGGTGAGTGCAAAAATAGACGCACCACACATCCACACTAAATGCAAAGGCTATGTCTGGCTGAGCATGTGATAAGTAAATTAGCCTACCAACAAGTCTCTGATTTTGCGTCCTCTTTTTTACATCCTTTTCTTCAGCTGGATGCATTTTTAAATTAGGGTAAATAGGGGTTTCACCTATATAGCAACCAAGAATTCTTGTTTGATCAAGAAAGTCCAAGGCATACCTTTGCTGGTTCAAAAAGATTCCACCCTTAGATCTAGCAAATTCCATTTTAAGCAAGTACTTCAGTGCTCACAAATCTTTGATTTCAAATTCACTTGCTAGTTTACTTTTCAAAATTCGAACATCCAAAATCTTCATCACCATCCCCTATCAACACTATATCATCAATATACACAATCTGAATTGAACTTAATCAGATTTAGAGTGTTCATATATAGTGTTGAAACACAAAGGGTTGTTTGTAGGGTTGTGTCTATCTAAGAATAGGTCCCTGATATTGAGTCTATATATATTTGTATGTTGTCTCTCCATTGAGACATGGGTAATACAACAAAATTCTTCTCATCTTTCTCACATATAGAACATTATATGATCTGCTTAACTCTGGAAGTAGCCGAAGCTTTTCATAACCCTTTCAAACCAAGCCCTTGAGGACTGCTTTATACCATACAATGGTTTTCTATGTATGGATACTTTGTTCAGCCTATGACATTTTCAAATCCAGGTGAAGATCCATGAAAACCTCTTATTCCAAATCTCCATTCAAAAAGGCATTTTTTTAAATCAAGTTGATGTAATGGCCAATTATAAGTCACAGGTAAGGAGAGAAGAAATTTGAATTGAATTAATCTTAGAAACAGGGGTGAATGTCTCATAATAATCTAACCCATAAGTGAACTATTTGGCCATGAGTCTAGCCTTGTATCCAAACACTTCCATCCACCCTACATTTCACAGTAAAGATAAGTCATTTTGTTCTAGCTAAGTTAACAATCTTGAACATTTTAATTTTCTTTCAAGAGCATTGATCTCTCCTTTGACTACATATCACCAATTCAAGTCACATAGTGCTTCTTGATTTGTTCTAGGAGCAAATGGGTCAAATTTTTCTGAAAGAAAAGCTGTGGTTGTTGGATAGTTTTTTATGCAAAAGATATTTTGCATTGGGATGATTAGTGAGTGATAATGTAGGAATATATGAACGTAGGGGTTCAATTGAAGAGGAAGTAGAATCGAGCTTAGAATTGACCTAAGTAGAATCCATGCTGATATGGATTATTTTTGTTATAGGATTAAAGGACTTTATCCCTTCTTATTAGGAGCATACCCTATAAAAACACAAATTTCAACTTTTGGGTTGTTGATCTTAGAGTAGAAGGAATATAGAAAAGGAAGTGCATCCTAAAATTTTTAGAGGTAAATCAATAGTCAACTGAAAGGTGGGAAAATGATTTTGAATGCTATCTAAGCGGGTTTCAAATATTAAAACATGGGTAGGCATTTTGTTTATCTAATAAGATGGAGTTAAAATTTCCTCCTACCAAAGATATTAAGCCGACTGCCTCTTTTTAGAACTAGTCCCCGAACTTGGATGAGTAATTGAGTCGTGAGATGATGGTTGTCTTGGTTGTGTTGGTTCCATTGACACTTCTTGTGAACCATTATCCCCATCATCGTCATCCAAATTTAGTTGTTTGTTCCTTGAATTTTTTAAGATATACTCCCGCATTTCTTTCATAGTCTCTGTTGTTGTATTCGGGCATGCAACAACATCTCCATACCCCTTAGCCAAGTGTTGTTTCAATCTTTTAATGCCTTGGCTAATTTGTCTTCCACACAACGTACATTCGATCAACTCTTTTTTCTTAAATCTGGCCAAAATCCATACTTCCAACCGGGGTCTTTAGACTTGGCTTTTCTTTTAGGATCCTTTGATGGATCATAAGTATTTTCGTCCTCCATAACCTGACAAATAAAAAATAAACAACCTATATGAAACACATCAATAGCACACTGCCAACTGCCAAGTATGTAGTAAAAAAAAAAAATGGTCAGTGTGGCACATTGCCACACTGCCAAGTGCCAAGTATTAAGTATGAAAATATGAAATAACCACACTGTGAATACTGAATATATATACTGAATATATAATTATATACACAACATACACACTGCCAAGTGTGTAGAAAAACAAAATAAATAAATTCAATGGTCAGTGTGGCACACTGCCACACTGCCAAGCTTAATATATTATATATTTATATATATAAATTATAATGTAATATACTAATATATACAGAAATAACAGACTAGTTTTACACACTCACAGTCACACACGACTGCACTAAGAAGAAGAAAAAAAAATAAATAAATAACAAAGCAGCAAACTTACCGGTCGGAGTCGCTGGTCGGAGGGTCGCCGGTCGGAGGTTGCAGTCGGCCGGAGGTCGCAGCCGGTCGGAGTCGCAGCAGGTCGGAGTCGCAGTAGGTAGGAGTTGTGGACTTGTGGTGAAGACTGAAGAGCGAAAGAGCCGTTGCTTTGAAGAGGACTTGAAGTTCAGACGAGTCTTGTGATAAAGACTAAGTCTAGTAGGGTTTTAATTCAGCAATTAAATTTTTTTTTTTTTAACATAAACCCGGGTCGACCCGGGCAGAAACCGGGCCGAACCAGGCATAGGCGTCCCAGGGCGTCGCCTTGACGACTAGGCGTCGCCCGGCGACGCCCAGGCTCGCCTCGCCAATTTTAGGCGAGGCGAGGGAACTAGGCGGGAGCCCTAGCCCGCCCAGACGCCTAGATAACCTTGATCCTAGCTACTTCAAGATATGAAACAACTTCTGATATTCTGAAGAAAAAAGGTAGTTGAGGACCAACATGTTTACAGGGGTTGGAGAACGCCCTACTCTAATACCATAAAAACCAAAGAGCTTAAGATGCAAAGGAATTCAAAATAACTTTTATTCAGCAGTGATTTTCAAAGACAGCAACCTCACTTTATAGGAAAGAGGAGGGCCTTAAACTAGTATAGAATATTTAGCAATAAGTCCTAACATCTATGTTAGAGAAGTTGGGTTACGGTTGAGAGAATTACTCTCAACCTTAGGGTTTGAATTTTGAAATTAGTGGCTTAGTTCTTCCCTTAGCTTGTATATATAGGCTCTTTATCTTTTGTACATCAAACACAGTAATACACAACTACACAGTCTTCTACTCTTCTTTTGGATACACTTTTTCACAATCTATAATTACTCCTAAAATTCCTCAAGATTTATATGTTCCATATTTGCATAGTATCATATCAGAAAAGCGGAATAGTAATACCTAAAAAAATGTAATCCAAGATTAGGACTGATTTCCTGCTTTACACATTCAGTGATGTACCCAATAAAATGATATAATAGCTTAGAGAAACTAATCATAAAGACAATCTTTTTATGAAATTCCTTCTCTAACCCAAGCTTCTCTTCCTATTGTTGTACATTGAATAAGTAACTAACTTATACCAACCTACAACCCACAAATCACATTCAACTCAAAAAGCAAATGGTCAGCTCTCTTTCAAAATCATTCAACAAAATCCCACTAGTCCGAAAATTCCAATTACACAAACTATTCAATTACATGTAAGGGCAAACTATAAGGTACTCCCCAGAATACCTAGCATGGTAGAATATGCATTATTGTTAATTGTTAATTCTATTAAACTCTATGTTCTTTT